TCCAGATTCTTTTCAAAGGCAGCCTCATGTAGAGCACATTGCAATAGTCAAGACGGGAGGGCATGAGTAACCATGAGGAGGGATTGTTAGTCCAGGAAAGGGCTTAACTGGTGCACAATCCGCAGTTACGCAAAAGCCCTCCTGGCCACGACTTTGAGCGGGAGTGGCGAGTCCAGGAGAACCCCCAGATTACGTGCCGGGTCTGTTTGAGGCAATGCCCCCCATTCAAGGCCAAAAGCAGCAATTCTCCATGGAGCAAGGAACCCCAGGGTTCAGTTTGCGACGGTTGCAGTGCCCAGGATCACGTGATCGCCATTTGCGACTTTCCCAGCTGGCTTCCTATAAGCAGAATCATTGGGGGAAGCTAGACTGCATGATTTGCTTAACAACGGTCTTCCTTAGCAACAGAAATTCTGCTCTGAATTGTGGTTGTAAGTCGAGGACTTCCTGTAAATTGAGATAGCAAACGCCAGGGAATCTGAAGCCCCCCCAGGGTTTTTTGGCACAGCTCTGATTATGGAAACCACTGTGGAATTCGTCGTTATGAGGTGCCCGTTGTTGTGCATTAAGCGGCTGTGTGAATATTTTACATAAACAAACTCCATGTCATGGTTCCGACAGATGAAACTCTTCAAAAGAACTTTGAGGCATTCTTTACCTTAAAGCAGTGGTTCTCAACCTTTTTAATGCCGCAACCCCCAACCGGTCATAAGTCGAGGACTACTCAACTGGTGCAGCCCCGTTTGCAGAATGGGACTTTTGGCGGGCTCAGCAGGGCAAAGACAGCCTGGACAATTCCTATTGGCTTTTGAAAGCCAATAGAATTAGACTCTATTCAAGAGAGTCTATTCTATTGACTTTCAAAAGCCAATAGAATAAAAGGGAGTAGCACAGCTAAGGAAAAGGGGAAAAAATGGCGGACTGTGTTGTTTGGCGACCCCCATGAAATGGTCATTCGACCCCAAATGGGGTCCCGACCCACAGATTGAGAACCACTGCCTTAAAGGATCTTTATTCGAGTAGCATAACATCGGCACTACATAATCGAAGCCAAAAACTGAATTCCCCTCCCAATCATAAATCACATTCCCCAATTAGCTTGAACCGTGGGCTTCCTCTCCAGCTCTCCAGCCCGCCAATTCTTTATCAGCTCTGGACTCAATAACCTTGATTCTCACGTTATGTTTAGTGTTGTTATGTCTAGCTGGACTCTCATTCATATCCCCCCCCTCCCAGCATCATCTAATTTTAAAAGTGAAAGGAAAAAGATGGCTACATTTCCATCCGTTGTCAGTGCAAAAACATCCGATATTAGCAGTGTTGACATCCCAATCAAGTGGTTGGTCTCTCTTTTCTCCACCCTGGTCTTTCTTTCTAGTCCTGAAAAAGGCTACTCTTCCCATCCCTGGGCTGGGACAAGGATAAGGGAGGGGAAAAGAGATTCCAAAAACAGCATGGTTGTAAATCAGAGCAAATTGGAGTATTTGTGCGACTACCTGAATGTGTTTGGGGTCCTTGGTGCTCTCTGAGCTGGGTGGTTTTCCTGCAGATGTTTCATGACTCAACTAGGGAACATCATCAGTTCTAGAAGGGGAGGGGTGGTTTGCAGAGCAGAGGAGGAGGAGGAGGAGGGGGAGGAGGAGGAGGAGGAGGAGGAGGAGGAGGAGGAGGAGGAGGAGGAAGACTGTGGGGTACTTGGTGCTCTTTGAGCTGGGTAGTTTTCTTGCAAACATTTCATGACCCAATTGGGTAATGTCACCAGTGCTAGAAGGGAGAGGGGTTTGCAAGGAGGAGGAGGTGTCTTGCAGACATTTCATGACCAACTAAGTCAGTGGTTCTCAACCTTTTTAATGCTGTGACCCCCAACCGGTCATAAGTCGAGGACTACTCAACCGGTTGTAAGTCGAGGACTACTCAACTGGTGCAGCACCGTTTGCAGAATGGGACTTTTGGCGGGCTCAGCAGGGCAGAGACAGCCTGGACAATTCCTATTGGCTTTTGAAAACCAATAGAATTAGACTCTATTCAAGAGCGTCTATTCTATTGGCTTTCAAAAGCCAACAGAATAAAAGGGAGTAGCACAGCTAAGGAAAAGGGGGAATAAATGGTGGACTGCATTGTTTGGTGACCCCTGTGAAATGTTGTTCGACCCCAAATGGGGTCCCGACCCACAGGTTGAGAACCACTGAACTAAGTAATGTCATCAGTAATGCTTCTCAGCCCTCACCGCGTGTTTGTGAGACAAAAAAAAAAAGATTCAATCAGACTGTCTAACTTCTTGCGAAATCTCAAGAAAGTCTGATTGAACTTTTTTTTCTTTTACAAGTAGTCCCACAAACACGCGGTGAAGGCCGAGAGGTAAACGGAGAAACGGAATGCCGCTGAAACGCAGGTTAATAAAAAAAACGCTTGGGGGAGGCAAGGACATCAGGGCAGGGGTGGGTGCAGCATCCTTACCCTGCACAGTGGCAGGAGGGTGGGGCGTGTGCCCTTTCCATGCCAGGCCAGCCCCTGCAGCTCCGGGGCGGCCATGCTGGGCGGCGGCGGGCAGGGTGCCAAGGTGGGGGCAAGCAGGCCGACGAAAGCAGCAGGTGGAGCACCAGAGCCTTGGGGAGGGAGGGTGCTGAAGTGGGCGGTCGGTCCATTGGCAAGAACAACGCAGCTCAGCGGAAAGCCCCGTGCCATTTCTCCTTTGCAATCCGCTGCCGCCACATACAGTGAAACAAAGGAAGTTTTTTTGGGGGGGGAAGGTCAATCAATCAATTCCAACTTCTCGTGAAAAAAATCTCACAAAGTTGGAATTGATTGATCTTTTTTCCCCAAAAAACCCCTTTCGTTTCCCTGCACACAGCGGTGGTGGATCACGATGGAGAAACGCCACGGGACTGGGAGTCAGGTAAGGAAAGAGAGGCAATTCCTGGGGGGAGCAAGGATGTCTTTCCTTACCTGTCCCACTTTTTCTGAGGCTGCTTTCCACTGAGCCACGTTGCTCTTGCCAATGGCCTGACATCCCACCTCAGTCCCCTCCCTCCCCGAGCCTCTGGTGCTCCACCTGCCACTTCTATTCTATTCTATTCTGTTCTATTCTATTTTATTCTATTCTATCCACGATGTAAAAAAGATGTTGAGACTCTAGAAAGAGTACAGGGAAGAGCAACAAAGATGATTAGAGGACTGGAGGCTAAAACATATAAGGAACGGTTGCTGGAATTGGGTCTGTCTAGTTTAACGAAGAGAAGGACGAGGAGGCACATGATAGCAGTGTTCCAGTATCTCAGGGGCTGCCCCAAAGAAGAGGGAGTCAAGCTATTCTCCAAAGCGCCTGAAGGCAGGACGAGAAGCAACGGGTGGAAACTAATCAAGGAGAGAAGCAACCTAGAACTAAGGAGAAACTTCCTGACAGTGAGAACAATTAATCAGTGGAACAGCCTGCCTCCAGAAGCAGTAAATGCTCCAACACTGGAAGTTTTTAAGAAGAGACTGGACAGCCATTGTCCGAAATGGTGTAGGGTTTCCTGCCTGAGCAGGGGGTTGGACTAGATGACCTCCAAGGTCCCTTACAACTTTACTACTACTACTACTACTATTCTATTCAGTCCATATATTTCTATTCTATTCTATTCTATTCCATTCCATTCCATATTCTATTTTGTTCTGTTCTGTTCTGTTCTGTTCCGTTCCGTTCCTTTCCATTCCATTCCATTCCATTCTATTCTATTCTATTCTATTCTATTCTATTCTATTCTATTCTATTCCTGTTTCTATTCTATTCTGTTCCATTCCGTTCCATTCCATTCCATTCTATTCTATTGTAGTCTATTCCATATTCTAGTCTAGTCTAGTCTAGTCTATTCCTATCCTATCCTATTCTAAATTCTACTGTTTGAGGGGCTGCCACAAAGAAGAGGAGGTTAACTTATTAACCAAAGCCCCTGAAGGCAGGACAAGAAGTAACAGGTGGAAACGCATCAAGGAGAGAATCAGACTAAAACTCAATTTCCTGACAGTGAGAAGAATTAAGAGAATGGGCAGGTGAGGGGGGAACATGCCCCACTTGTTCCATGGCTGGTTTCAGCTGAGCCGCACTGCATTGAATTTCGTTTTGTTACATAGGTCCCAGTGTTTGAGTTTGTCAAGATCTTTTTGGATTCTGAGCTTTTCTTTTGCGGTGCTGACTATTCCTGCCAGCTTGGTGTCATCTGCAAATTTGATGAGATCCCCTTCTATTTCCTCCTCTTAGTTATTTATGAAGATATTGAAGAGTGCTGGGCCTAAGACAGAACCTTGGGGTACCCCACTGCTTCCTTCCCTCCATGTAGATGTAGTACCATTGAGGACTACTCGTTGAGTGCAGTTTGTCAGCCAGTTACAGATCCATCTGGTGGTGATGCTGTCTATCCCACAGGTTTCTAGCTTACCAAGAAGTAGATTGTGGTCTACTTTGTCGAATGCCTTGCTAAAGTCTAAGAATACTATGTCCACAATATTTCGCTGGTCTACTAATTTAGTCACTTTGTCAAAGAATGAAATAAGATCGGTTTGGCATGATCTGCTTTTAACAAACTCGTGTTGGCTACCAGCTATAACTTTATTTGTTTCTAGATGTTCGTAGATTTGTTTTTTGATTAATTTTTCCAGCATCTGTTTTTTGACCTTGTTTGCATCTAGGTGTTTACAGATTTATTGCATGCCAGAAACTGGGCTGCACAAACAAGTGAAGCATCCCATCCGCGGGATGCAGGCAGCATGCAAAACCAGGCTCCCTTCAGTCCATGGAAAAACCTCTCTCCACGGAACGGTCCTTGGTGCCCAAAAGGTGGGGAAGGGGGTCACTAATTTAAAATATTCTTATGGCTGCCCACCTTCAAACCCAGTGCTGGGTATGCTCTCCAGTTTTTAAACTTCTCGGAAATTCAACGCTTGTCTTAGCCACAACCGCGAGGTAGTGTCAGGGCCCACTTCAATATCTCATCCCAAGAAAGTAGAACCCGTGGAAGCGGTTTCTTCCAAAAGGAGCTTTTATTAGGAGAAGCTGATAGCAGGCATAATAGACAGGATCTGAGGGTTTCCCGCCAGATCGATAGGTAAAAAGTATCCCAAGCATAACTCTACCCCATAGTTCATCTGGTCAGTTCAAACAGGCCAATCCCAAGGTGTTAAGTTAGTTGTAGGAAAAAGAAAATAACATCAGGCCGTCTCTGGGCTGCAGTGATATTTAGGTGGCTCTTCACACCTTCCCTTGTGAACACGGAGATAACGCAGTTGCCGGAGGTGCATTCCATTCTCCTCCCCGCCTTTACTAGCTGACAACTAGGGGAGAGAAAGTTCACAGAATACGAAATGCAGGAACAGTAAAGTGTTACATTGTAGAGATAGAGCAGACATATCAAACACAAGGCCCGGGGGCTGGATGCAGCCCGCGAAGTGGTTTCATGTGGCCCATGAAACCATCCTGGAAACAGTGAGGGAACAGTCCCCACTGCCTTGGCCCTGGCCCAGGCCAGCTGGAAGGGAGCCAATGTACAATTTTGTGGTGACCATCTATGCTGAAACGCATTCAGTCTTAGCTCCACAAGGCCGTCTGCAAACAGTGAGGAACCAGCCCCTGCCACGTTGGCCCCACCACCTGGGTGCATGTTGGGGAGGTGTCGCCCTTTGTGAGGAATGAAGAAATGCACCATTGCCTGGAAGTGGCCAGCAAATGGCCCTCGCCTACTTCACATATCTGGCTTGATGGGCTCCGGTGGAGGGGTTTCAGCAGGCAGTGAGGCTCCTCCAGTGGACCATGCCTTGGCCCTTGCCCCGGTCCCACCCCCTTCTGCCAGAGACCCTCAGATCCGTCCCACTCCTGCTCAGGCCCCCACAGGCACCCTTGACGCGAACGATGTAGAGCTGGCCATGCCCACACAGTAGGCCACACCCACTCAACGCAGTAGGCCACACCCACCCTGGCCACACTCACCCACTTCCCCCCCGAGGGCAGCCGCAATGCTGATGCGGCCCTCAATGAAATGGAGTTTGACACCCCTGCGATAGAAGAAACAAGGCAATAAACACCAAGTGCTTCCCCCTCCCTTCCAGGAGTATGGCAGAAGCCAGGGAGAGAAGAGAATGCAATTTGAGTTTAGAAGAAAAAGAAAAGGCCCTTCAAAATATGGTTCCGACAGGTAGTTTTCAGATTCCCTGCAGTTTGATCTCCCAGTTTAATCAGAAGCCGCTTTCAGTTACCCCAAACTCCGTCTCTGTCCCTTCCCGACTTAAGTGGTCAGTCCCAGCAGCCTCTCGCTGAATTCCCACAGCTTTCTGGCCATGTGGTCATCACGGGCCTGTGGTGAGGGCACTTCCGGCTGGCAGTCCGCAAAATACTGCCCGCTCAGACTCTCGATGCCCTCCTCGGTGGCGCAGTAGATGAGGGTCTGTGCACCAGTGTCACAATCTCGTTTGAACACCGAGAGGAACCAAACCATCCTAAATAACCACCATCGACTTGCGTAACCAATTTCGGTTCTAACAGCTCCTGAAAGCAAAAAAGAGTTGGTTGTGTGAACGGCTCGGGATGGAAGGAAGCACCTTCCAGGGTGACCCAGATGATGGAGGAGGAGGAGGAGGAGGAGGGGGTGGTGGAGATCCTGAATGAACCCTTCACACATCGCCCATTGCCCATTTGGCAGCCTTGGGGCAACTTCCAAATATTTTTTGGAAGACCCAACACTGAAGTGAGTGGACGATGGTGCAAAACGAGTGTGTGTGTGTGTGTGTGTGTGTGTGTGTGTGTGTGTGTGTGTGTGTGTGTTGCCCCTCTTCCTCACAGATACTGCAGAGATGGATGGAATATTAATTAAACATGGCTGGTATTTCTGGAGCTAAAAGAAGAAGGAAGCAGTGTTTCGTTTCATTGCTTGCAGTAACTGCTGATTCACATCTCAAAATTCATAGTAAACCAAGATATCTACAAGATAAATGAAGAAAAGAAATGGATTCATTTTATCTCAGAGATAAATGTTGGCTGTGATATTTAGGAAACCATTTTTTTCTTCTAAATATGTGATATAATGATGCCACGGTTTGAATGCCTCCATTGTTAGATGTTAGCTATTATATAACAATGTTAGATATAGGATTTTTTAAAAAAAAATTAATGACATCTAAGGATGCTTGAACCATCATAGCTGTGGAGATTTTTCATGGGGTTCTCATTGTGTAGCAAGGAAGGGCACACCTCTTTTCCTCTTGACACGATCCACATGAAAAATTGTTTTAATTATCCAATTAAAAATTAAAATTCAGTTAGAACTCATGAGAAATTCAGGACAAAGAAAACAGGGTACTCAACACAGGACATATAGCACAGGTCGGCAACCTGCGGCTCCGGAGCCGCATGCGGCTCTTTGAGCCTTCCCCTGTGGCTCCCAGCCTCCTCTGCCTTTGCAGAGAGAGACAGAGACAGAGAGAGGCAATTGCACTTCCCTGCTCTTCTCTCTCTCTCTCTCTCTCTCTCTCTCTCTCTCTCTCTCTCTCTGTGTGTGTGTGTTTTGTGTGTGTGTATGTGTAAAAGAGAGTGCACTCACAGTGTTCTCTGAGGAGCTGAAAAGCTTACTGGGCGGAGCTCCCCCCCTTTGCTGCGTCTCTGCAGGAAGCAGGAAGGGCAGAAGAGAGCTAGCTAGCCCAGCTAGGCTGACTCAGGAATTCTGGGAGTTGAAGTCCATGAGTCATAATAGAGACGAGGTTGCCTACCCCGGAGGTTGTTGGACAGCAGCTTGAAGCTTGCCAGGTGAGCAGCAGATAGGAGGGGGGGGGGAAGAAAGAGAGAGAGAGGGAGAGAGAGAGAGGGAGAGAGAGAGTGGGGGAAGAGGAGTGGCAGATCAAGGGCAGATAGAGAGAGAGGGAGAGAGAGACCCTTTTGACATCTAAAATGAAGATAACACTGCATATATCCTTTTTTTACCTGTGTGTGTATGTAATTTTATTCTCTTAAAGCATTCTCTTGGTGATCATTGTTTTAATAGTATGGGTATTCCCAAGAGTCATATTTTTACTTTTATTTTTAATGTGTATATGTGTGTGTGTGTGTGTGTGTGTGTGTGTGTGTGTGTATGTAGGTCTTTGGTTGTTCAGGTTTTCTCCCGCGTAAAATTGGAAGTGTCTTGGCGACGTTTCGACGAAGTCCCATTCGTCATCTTCAGGCTGGTGTTTTCAGCTTCGTGCTTCGAAGCACTCAACTTTGCTGCTCGAAGCACGAAGCTGAAAACACCAGCCTGAAGATGACGAATGGGACTTGTCGAAACGTCGCCAAGACACTTGCCAATTTACGCGGGAGAAAACCCGAACAACCAAAGACCTACATCAAAACACCGCGAAAACCTCAGAAAACATATACATATATATATATATATATATATATATATATATACACACATACATATACACATACACACACCTATAATAAAGGTAAAAAAGGATATATGCAGTGTTATCTTCATTTTAGATATCAAAAGGGTTTTGTGGCTCCCAGTGTTTTGTTTTTGGTGGGAAACGGGTCCAAGTGGCTCTTTGAGTGTTTTTGGTTGCCTACCCCTGACATATAGCGTTAAAAACGTAATTCAGTTAGAAAGTAAATAATGGGAATTTCAGGAAAAAGAATACAGAACACTACTAGTATTGTTGATACACACACATTAAATAACATTAAATAATGATGTTCTGTCTGTTCCCTGAATTGGTTAAAATAGTGCATGTGTGTGTGTGTGTATGTGTGTGTGTTGTCGAGGTGGCGCAGCAGTTAGAGTGCAGTACTGCAGGCCACTTTAGCTGACTTGTGTTCAGCAGGTCAGCGGTTCAAATCTCACCGGCTCAAGGTTGACTCAGCCTTCCATCCTTCCGGGGTAGGTAAAATGAGGACCCAGATTGTTGGGGGCAATGTAAATATATTTATATATACATTGCTTACTGGTGTACACCGCTTAGAGAGTGCTCGCACTTAAAGCGGTATATAAGTCTCATAAATAAATAAATAAATCCACTCAAATTAGGTGGCTTATAGAGTAGTCTCCAACTTACAAGCGTTTGTATAGTGACTATCCAAAGATACAATGGCACTCCTGGAAAATAGGTTGACCCCCCCCCTCTTCTCTGTGGCAGCTCCTCAAATACAGGTGATCCCCCAGTTATGAGCGTTCACTTAATACTCATTCAAAGCCACATGATCAGTGCCCCCTAGTGTTTACAAGCAAGTCCCAAAATTATGGATATTGCAGCACCACGGCAATCGTTTGCCCTTACGAGTGACTTCAGTGGCACTGCAATGTTCACCCTATTTCCCCACACACACACATTCCTCACAACTGCTTCCCCCCCCTTCCTGCTGCACTGGACTCACTTACCTTGCAGAAAACCTTTCTGCCCTGGTTTCTTTCCCTTTGAGGGAGAGAAGAGTCGACTTGGAAATGTTTTTCGCACCGAGAATGGAAGTTTCCGGAGTGCGTGATCTCGCACAAGTGTTCGAAGTTGCGCCAAATCACAGACCTCAGAAACTTTAATTCTCTATGCGAAAGGTGCCTGTGTCCTGCTCCTGCCCCCAACTCCTTTCTGCCCAAGGGCAGACTTGAAGCCTTCAACGGAGGGAGAAGGCCAGGCCCCTCACACCCGTGTCTAGCCTGCTGGAGCTCACCACGCTTGGGGAGAAAGTGACCCCGTTGTACCCGGAGCCTTAGAAGCCTCCTTCAAGCCACTTAGAGCGGAGGCTGGGGGAGGCTTCTGCATGCCTCTGGAGGTTGGATCCAGCCCTCGGAGGGGTCTTCTTAGCCGTTCGTGCCAGGAATAGAGGTGGGGGGCTTCGGAAGCTCCTTTCTGGGCGTAAACGGCTTGGAGCATTCCTCCGAGGCCTGGATCCAACACTTGGAAGCTCTATTTTGGGCGGCAGCAGCTTGGAGCAGTTCTCTGAGGGCTGGATCCAACCTCCGGAGGCATGCAGAAGTCCCCCATCCAGCATTCCTGCCACAAACAGCTTGGAAGACCCCTCTGAGGCCTGGATCCAGCCCTCGGAAGCTCTTTTCCGGGGGCAGCCACGTGGCTCCAGAGTTGGGGAAAAGCAGGAGGCAGGCACCGCAAACAGCACGAGAATTCAGGCACCCATTCTCTGTGAAAGAGAATAGGTGCCTGAACTCGCATGATATTATGGCACCCAGCGGCTCCATCGACTGTCTTGTCCCTCAAAAGCAGGAACCACGGCAGATAGGAGAACAATCTTTTCAAGGTGAGTCTGGCGCAGCAAAAGGGGAGGGGAAAGCATGAGGTATCTTAGTGGGTCAGGGAGGCCTTGGGGGTCTGTTCCACCACTAGGCCCCCCATGGCCTTCCCCACCCTGAGATACCTCGTGTGCACTTAACGAGCTGCGTGCATTTTAACGAGCAAGGGAGTGATCTCGTTCCAGGTATGAGATTCACTCTATGAGTTTTCGAGTTACGAGTGGAATGTGCAGGCTCCATTCTACTTGTAACTCGAGGACTACCTGTGGTGGAATACTTCTATCATGTCCCCCTAGTCCTTCTCTAGACAAGCTATACCCAAATCCTGCAACCGTTCTTAAAGGCCTCCAGGCCTTTAATCATCTTAGTTGCTCTTCTTTGCGCTTTTCCCCAAAATCTCAACATTGTTTTGGTAATGTGGTGACCAAAACTGGATGCAGGATTCCAGGTGTAGTCTTACTAAGGCTTTATAAAGTGATAGTAACACTTCACATGTTTTCGATTCTACGCCTGTGTTCATGGAACCAAGAGTCCTTCCCACCCAGATATTCTAGGATTCTGGACCCGGGAGGGTGGGAGACGTCTCCCTCCACAGCTGAGCCCGATGGAGGAAACTCCCGGGGTGGCTCTGCAGAGGGGGGTCGAGGGGAGCCCCCAGTGGGAGAGAAATGCCTGGCAGAGCCCCAGATGGACCTGGGGGTGTCTCCATCTGGGGCACCTTGGAGCCAGACTTCCACTCACCTGGATGAACCGCGTAGCAGGTGACGTTGGTTCCTTCCAGCCGGTTGGCCAACTCTCTTGCATGGAGAACGTTGGCTAGTTTGCTGTTGCTGTACGATTTATAGGCCTGCCATGGCCCCTCAGCCGGCTTATGGATGGTCCGAAAGTCGATCTTCCCATGGTTGTGTGAACTCGAGGACACAATTAATATCCGGCTGGGGGCGCAGTGCTTCAGCCGGTCCAGAAGCAGATGGGTCAGCAGGAAGTGGCTCAGATGGTTGATCTGGAAATCCAGGTCAAAGCCATCAATGGTCTGACCATCCTGAAGGACCCCTGCCAAAAAAGTAAGCAAAGTCTTTGCCTTACGACGTGTAGCTTTGTGAACATTCGAAGTTGCAACGGATGTAATTACCAAACAGTAATGACGACCTGCTTCCAAAGTTCCAGCGTCTCCCCCTTGTGGCCACATGATCACATTCTGGGTACTTGGCAACCAGGCTGCCCTTGGCAACGTGTCAAGTGATTGTGATTTATGACATGTCAAAAAAGGCATTTATTTGCATTTTTCAACAAAAACACCTGATAGGTTACAATTGGTTCGCTTAACAACTGCCTCAGAAAAGGTCGTAAAATCATGTTGGTCACAGGGGTGACCTGCTTTACAACTATCACAACTTACGACCGTAATTGGCAGGCTCCATCATGGTCATAAGTCGAGGACTGCACATAAAGCATCCAGTTCAGCCTAGTGGTTAAGGCCACAGGCTATTAGAGTCAGTTAAGTCCGTTTGGTCTAGTGTTTAAGCCTAGAAAACGTGAGGCCATGAGTTCAAATCCCGCCTTAGCCATGAAAGCTGGCTGGGTGACTTTGGGCCAATCACCAGGAGATGGTGAGTTTTAGTCCCGCCCTAGGCACAAGATCCTGAGTGACTGAGCCAATCACCAATCTGCGCCATTCATTCTCTCTCAGCCCAACCCACCTCACAGGGTTGTTTTGAGGGAAGCAGAAGGAACTAGGCATGTTGGATCTGTTCGCTGCCTTAAGTTACTTGTAAAAATAATAATATAAGGTAGTCCTCAAGTTACGAATGCCATGGAACCTCCCCAGTCCATTCATAACTCGAGGACTCGTAGGAGTGAATCTCGTTCCTTGAACGCGATCACTCCCTGCTTTCACCCACGCATTTGCTAATCGAATGCACAACTTGTTAAGTGCACATGAGGTATCTCAGGGTGGGGAAGGCTACGGGGGGCCCACTTGCTTCAGACCACCCAAGGCTTCCCCCAACCCACTGAGATACCTCATTCTCCCTCACCTGGGGCCCTCACAATTGCTCCCCTGCATCCTGCTGCGCCGGGTCACTTACCTTGTGAAGATCTGTCTCCTCTCCAGACTCTCTGCTCCTTTGCCTGCTCCCGGCAAGCAGGGAGAGCAGGATGAGTGCGCACGCTTCTCTGACTCCCAGGGCTGCCTGCCACTTCTGGCATGACGGGCAGCCTCAGTGAGTCTCTTCCAAAGGCTTCCAGGCTCGGCGCAGAAAAGCGTTTGCATGCTGAATGGAGGTTTGGGGCAGCAAAGTCACGTTGCTTCAAGCTTCCCATTGGGGTGCAAATACTTTTCACGCAGCAACTGGAAGCTTCTGGATGCCCTGATCTCGCGGGAAGTCAGGCACTCATTCTCTGCAAATGAGCACGAGATCCTGGCCCTCAGAGGTTTTCAGCCGCTGGCCAAAAAGTGTTTATGCTCCTATGGGGCGCTGCTTCAAAGAGCCCCATAGGGCTTGAGGAGCCCTTTGCCACCGAGAATGGAGCACCCGGAGAGAGCGCGTGTCACTCCAGGCCTCCGTTTTTGGCAGCAAAGGCCTCCTTGAAACCTCTGCCGCCGAAAATGAAGCCCTGGGTTGATGCGCACATCACCTGGGCCTCCATTCACAGCAGCAAAGGCCTCCTCAAGGCCTCTGCCCCCAAGAATGCAGGCCTAGGTTGACATGCGCGTCACCCCAGTGTCCATTTTCACTGGCAGAGGCCTTGAGGAGGCACACTGGCTGAGGAATTCTGGGAGTTGAAGTCCACAAGTCATAAAAGGGCCACGTTTGAAGACCCCTGATCTACATCTTCGCAAGGTGAGCATCCACAGGCTCAGTGCCTGTGGAGAGCTGGGGTGGGGGTGGGGGAGCGAATAGGCAAGGTGTCAGAATCCAATTATATTTCATCTCTAGTTATCAACTATAGAAAACCCCATTTCTGCCTTCCCTGGATTTTGCCATACGGTGAAGGGAAGGGGGTGAACAAAGGGGCTTTATGGCCCTCACTTCTTTCGGTACACTTCAAAGCGACTGAATGTGGATATCGCCAAAAGGACTAACCATAACAATGGGGCTATTACCTTTCATGTAGTTCTCTCTGAAGTCTCCCTCCAGCCGGCAGTAAAGAAAAGGGGGTGGGAGTGTAATGCCTGAGACTGTCGCTGGAAGAAGGGGGTGATTGGGTGGGGCTACTGGGGAACCCCTTAAAACCTTGAATGGGAGAGCTTGGACCCCAAGTCCTGTCTAGAACGCCTGCAAACATTTTCTCTTAATAAAGGATGCCTGTTGGAAGAATTATTCCAAGAGTTCTGTCTTCTTAAGATGCAAAGTGGGGTGGCGAACTACTGCCGTGGACCTGCAACATTTGTAATTTCAGGACTTGTTTGTAAACACTAGGATGAGCTTATTGTGTAACTTCAAACGTTCGCTAACGGAACGTTCGTAAATCGGGGATTATCTGTAAAGGCAGTATACAAAAAATAAACAACTACAAAGAGGAGAGAGCTGCTTCTGAATTTACGGCCAAATCTCCAAAGGAAGAGAAATCTCGGAGACCCCCACAACATTCCCACTTCCTCGCCAAGATACCCCAGGTGTGTGTGTCTGCTCTGCACCCACCGGCATTGTTGATGAGGATGTCCAGACGGGGCTCCGATTTTAAGAAGTTCTCTGCGAAAGCTCGCACGGAGTTGAGGTTGGCCAGATCCAGGATCATCAGGATCACCTCCGAGTTCCCACTTTCCTGGAAAAGGAGCAGAAGGAATCCTGAGAAGAATTGGAATCGGGTGCAGCTTCAAAGGCTGATCCTGGTTTACTCACCTTCTATGTATGTCTGCTCACCTCGTGACAATCACTCCGGGTGGTGTGTCATAAAACAATATAGGCAGCCCTCGACTTACACGCATTCGTTTAGTGACCATTCAAAATTGCAACGCCAAGGATTCTGACAATCAAAGTCAATGGGGAAAGCTGGATTCACTTAACAAACATGTGATTCACTTAACAACTACCGTGATTTGCATAACAATCGTGGCAAAAACGGTTGCAAAATTGGGTCGTAAACTGTGGTCCTAAGTCAAGGACTGCCTGTATATAGCTGCCAATCTTATAAACAACTCTGGGCATAACATAAAAACCGTAATAAAACTTTGAAACTGGAAAGAATGCTCAGATAGATATTGGTGACCTGAAGACCAGCACTGGAGTGGATCTGCAGTGGGAGAACAGGACAGGGTGGATCTCTGTATAGGTGCATTGTGAAGACCTTACAGGGGTTCATTATTGCTGGAAAGTGGAGCAAGTGGCCATATTGTAAAGAGCCCAGACCTTTTTCTCAGCTGCCCAGGAATGTGTAAGCCTAGCAAACGGTAATCATTCTTCTGTACAGGGGCGAGGAACAGTATATGTAGCCTGTATGGGCAGGTCCTTTGATAAGGTTCTATGCATATCAGATTTAGATCACAATTTGCTGAGTGTGTCTCGCTTAGACAGCGAAAGATATGAAGCAATGTTTGTAAAGTGTACATGCAAGGCCATAAAGAATGACAGGGTGTGTGCACAAGGTTTGAAACTGAACAATTTATATCTTTTGAGCCATAAGGAAGCTGGCGGCAGTGCGCAAACAATCTTTCCTAATGAACCGAAGCATGATGGGTGTGTGCATTCATTACACAGAAGGCTGGGTCATGCAAGCTTTAAAGTATTGCAGAAAACTCCTGACTTGGTTGTCGGCTTGAATGTAAAAAATTGTTGAAGACCGTTTGGATTGTGCTACTTGCAAAGAGACAAAATCAAAAATACACCCTGTCAGCAAAAGAAGTGAGAGAAAATCTGAAAGAATTTTTCAGTTACTTCATGCGGATTTAATTGGCCCTCTATCCCATCAATGGGAGAGGCCCAATTTGCTTTGCTAAATGTTGATGGTTACCCTAGATACAGGTTTTGCTATTTACTAAAAAGCAGAACTAAAGGGTTTCAACAATTTAAACATCGGGTAATTTTTGTAGAGAGGAGATATAATCAAAGAGTATGTCAGCTACAGACAGACAGAAGAACCAAATTCATGTCTAACATGTTTCAGCCAAGAAAGAGAGGCAACCCCCCTGGAAAGACGAACCCCTACATTCCGGCAGAGAATGGAGTTGCTGAACGCAGACAAGATGTGTTACAGACTATGAAAGACGCATTGCTAGAAAGATGCAGGAATGAGTAAAGTATATTGGGGTAAGGCAATTTTAATTCCCAATTATTTAGTCAATAGACTGTGGAGTTCAGCAATTAATCAAGCTCCTTGTTACATGTTATATGGAAGACAACCATATCACTGGAAGTTTTTAAGAAGAGATTGGACAGCCATTTGTCCGAAATGGTGTAGGGCAGTGGAACTAAGGAAAACATAACTAAACTAAGGGGCACATAACTAAAGCAGAATATCAGCGAATAGCCCGAGCCTGCAAAGATGAAGTAAGGAAAGCTAAGGCTCAAAATGAACTAAGGCTTGCGACCAAAGTCAAAAATAACAACAACAACAAAAAGCTTCTTTCAACATGTAAAAAAGAAGACATCACCCTGCCAACAAAAGTGCGTAAAGTGAAGGCCATGGTTTTCCCAGTTGCAATGTATGGCTGTGAAAGCTGGACCATAAGAAAGACTGAGCGCCAAAGAATTGAGGCCTTTGAACTATGATGCTGGAGAAGACTCCTGCAGGTCCCCTGGACTGCAAGGTGATCAAACCGGTCAGTCCTAGAGGAGATCAACCCCAACTGCTCTTTAGAAGGCCAGATCCTGAAGTTGAAACTCAAGGACTTTGGCCACCTAATGAGAACTCACTGGAGAAGAGCCTGATGCTGGGAAAGATGGAAGGCAGTAGAAGAAGGGGACGACAGAGAATGAGGTGGCTGGATGGAGTCACTGAAGCAGTAGGCGTGAGCTTAGATGGACTCCAGAAAATGGTAGAGGACAGGAAGACCTGGAGGAACGTTGTCCATGGAGTCGCGATGGGTTGGACACGACTTCGCAATTAACAACAACAACGAAATCATAGACTACGTGTATAACATCTATCCCACTGTGACTCTACGGCACCATATTATGGAGATTTTATCATGGTTTCACCCTAACTTAATATTTTACCTCGTCTGTTGTAGTGTCCACCCATTTGAGATACATGTATTGGTTGATGCTTTATTTAAACTTACATTTGCATCTGCCTGTATAGTGTGTTTTATCTGCATTGCATATAAGGAATTGCATGACCTCTGTAGATGCCATGTGCTAAATAAATGAATAAAATCCATCAGGAAAACACCTGGATGCCGAAGAACGAAGGGAAGGAGAGAACCGCACAACAGGCGCTTACCCGTCTGATGTCCCATACAGCCGATTCTCCTCTTGCTTTGTTGCGGCATGCCAGAATGACACGTGCGCCTCTCCGGGCCAGATCCACTGCCGTGGCCTTCCCGATCCCTGCATTTCCACCTAGGAAAGGCCAGAGAAAGGATTCACCGAGCCTTTGATGGGGACGCAGGAGCCAGGCCTGCCTTTGCTTGCCTGCAGTTTTTGTGGTGTGTCACACAGTGTTTGTGTGGCAGCGTTTCTCAACTCTGGCAACTTTTCAACTCCCAGAGTTAAAGTTAAGCAACATCTTAAAATTGAGAAACCCTGGTTCAGGGCATGATTTTCATTATTCTTTCAGCGCAGTCTTACATCAACAAAGAAAAATAGCTTAAAATTATTCAGGGTAACGCAGGTAGTAATACACCATTTATTCAGTGACCATTTGAAGGTGAAATGGTCACTGAAAAATGGGACATGTGACCAATTTTCACAGGACGCCAATATTTCAAACATATTCAACCTGTGCTTATCAATCGTGGCGAAAAAGATCATGAAACCAAGAACGATGCACTTAACAACCGGCTTGCTTAACAACAGAAATTCTGTTCCCCGTTGCCGTTGTAAGTCGAGGACCAAGTGTACAGTAACGTTCACAGCAGTTGTTACCGGTTAGTGGGAAGGAAGTTGTTTGTTTTCCACTTCACAGTTTAAATACATTATTTCAATGTAAGAGGTGAAAGATAAAAGGGCCAAATTTTCCTGATTATTTAATTATGAAATTGAAGACCACTTTCAAAGGATGTCAAAAATGATGTTGGAGAAGATGTAAAAATGCTATTAAGGGTGACTGGAAAGAGAAAACCACTCAGAAGTGACTCAGGGGGTTGGACTAGATGACCTCCAAAGTCCCTTCCATCATCATCATCATCATCATTATTATTATTATTATTAATCATCATCATCACACAGTCAGCCAGATGTTCAGACTGGATTTGGCATTTTGTCTACCTATCGAGTCCTTACCCAGGACCTGGGATAGGCAGATGTGGATGTTTGATGGTATTACAGATCTCGTCGCAGGATGGAAGTAGTTCCTAGTAAGGCTGCCTTTTGCAATTGACTAATAGTGAATTTGTCAATGCCAATGGTGTTCAAATGGTGCTCCAGTTGTTTTGGGATTGCACCTAAGGCGCCTGTTGCTATTGGTACTACTCTTGCTTGCCTTTGCCATAGTCTTTCTATTTCTATTTGTAGGTCTTGTATTTTGTTCTGTTCTCCAGTTCTTTCTCGTCTATTCTGCTGTCTCCAGGCATTGCCACGTCCACTATCCAGACTTTTTTGTCTTTCTTATCGACAGTTGTTAAGTCTGGGGTGTTATGTTGCAGGTGCTTGTCTGTTTGATGATGATGATGATGATGATGATAATGATGATGATGATTATTATTACTATTACTATAGATGTGTGGCACAGTCCAGGGATACCAGGCAGGGTGAGGAATAAACTCAAGAAAACCTCACCTTGGTTTTCTTTAGTACTGGAAAGATCAGAGTGGGTGACTTTGAGCCGAGATCGCCAACAGGCAGGAAACCCATCGGAGTGACTTTCGGACAATCACCAGGAGACGGTGAGTTCTAGTCCTGACTTAGCTATGAAAGCCAGCTTTGGGCCAGTCATCAGGAGATGGTGAATTCTAGTCCTATCACAGGCATGAAAGACAATTGGGTGAGACTCTGAGGGGTGGGTGGCCAAAGCAGAGCCAGGGACTAAGAAAGTTTTATTGTTTTATTGTTAGATGATTGTTTTAATTTTGTACGCCGCCCTGAGTCCTTTGGGATTGGGCGGTATATAAATAAAATTAAATAAATAAATAAATAAAAGTGATTTATTTATTTATTTATGAGACTTATATACCGCTTTAAGTGCAAGCACTCTCTAAGCGGTGTGCACCAGTAAGCAATGTATATATATTTTACATTGCCCCCAACAATCTGGGTCCTCATTTTACCTACCCCGGAAGGATGGAAGGCTGAGTCAACCTTGAGCCAGTGAGATTTGAACCGCTGACCTGCTGAACACAGTCAGCTAAAGTGGCCTGCAGTACTGCACTCTAACTGCTGCGCCACCTCGGCTCTTGATTCCTGCCCCCATGTAAAATGAGATCCGGGCAGCTGTTTCCAGCCGCCTCCTATGCCAATCAAATGTCACCAACATCCATCTGGTGGTCTAACAAAAAGAAGTACTAGGCTGAGACGATAGCATCTTCCAATAGTTGAGGGGCTGCCACAGAGAAGAGGAGGGGGTCCACCTGTTCTCCAAGGCACCTGAAGGCAGGACAAGAAGCAACCAGGATGGGAACTAATCAGGGAGAGAAGCAGCCTGGAGGGAAGGAGACATTTCCTAAAAGTAAGGACAGTTAAGCAGTGGAACAGCTTGCCACCAGAAGCTGTGGGTGCTCCATCACTGCAGGTTTGTAAAAAGGGATAAGATAGCCATTTGTCTGAAATGGTCTAGGGTTTCCTGCCTGAGCAGGGGGTTGAACTAGATGACCTCCAAGGCCCCTTCTGACGCCGTTATTCCGTTTGCCCTTCCGAAGTCTGGCTACCCCTGTCTGGGCATCCAGTAGCCCTGCGGAGAACTTTCTCCCCTGCGCCCCTCCAGAGAGTGCTTGGCTCTTCCCCACCCACTCCTTTCTTGGGGGGGGGGGGTATCAAGGTCCGAGGGAGTCCCGGGGACCGGCTGGTCTCTGCGGAGCCTCCCCGCTTCCGCTGCTCCGCTTTCAGTCCTCCCCTGCTTTATCCCAAAGGAGCTTTTGGGGATGGACTTTCCCGGTTTGGTCCAAGGCCCCTTTGGGTCCACCTGGATGGGGGAGAACCTGGGTTATGGTGAACCCGCGACCCGCATTTCGCTTTGACCTTCGAGCGGCGCTTTGATTCCGGGCGTTGGATCCCGCCTGGAGCCCCCGAGGTGGGGGGGGGGTTGTTTAACAAGAAAGAAAGGCCACGCCCCCCGCCCCCGCCTCCACGCCCCCCCCCCCACGGATGGGAGCGCAGCGGCCCCCGGAGCTACCTGTGATGAGAACCGTCTTGCCCCGCAGGCTGACCGCGTTCCGGCACCGGGGGCCCGCCGCGAAGTTGGAGTAGAGCAGCGCGTAGAGCCCCAGCAGGAGCGCCGCGCCCCCCGCCAGCATCGCCAGCGCCTCCATGGCCCGCTCGCTCGCCCGGCCCCGCTACCTTTCCCCGCAGCCCGGGAGCGCTTCGCTTTTACCGGGACGGTCGCCGCCCTAGGCCCGCCTCCCGCCTCCCACCTCCCGCCCCTCCCCGCGTGGGAAAGCCACCCTCTCGCCCTCCCCTCCTGGGCTAGGCAGGCAGGCAAGAATGGGAAGGAAGGAAGGAAGGAAGGAAGGAAGGAAGGAAGGAAGGAAGGAAGGAAGGAAGGAAGGAAGGAAATGGGAATGAGGGAGGAAGGAAGGAAGAAAAGAAGGAAGGAAGGAAGGGAGGGAGGAAGGGAGGGAGGGAGGGAGGGAGGAAGGAAATGGGAATGAGGGAGGAAGGGAGGAAGGGAGGAAGGAAATGGGAATGAGGGAGGAAGGAAGGAAGAAAAGAAGGAAGGAAGGAAGGAAGGAAGGAAGGAAGGAAGGAAGGAAGGAAGGAAGGAAGGAAGGAAGGAAGGAAGGAAGGAAGGAAGGAAGAAAAGGAAGGAAGGGAGGGAGGGAGGGAGGGAGGGAGGGAGGGAGGGAGGAAGGAAGGAAATGGGAATGAGGGAGGAAGGAAGGAAGAAAGGAAGGAAGGAAATGGGAATGAGGGTGGAAGGAAATGGGAATGAGGGAGGAAGGGAGGGAGGAAGGAAGGAAGGAAGGAAATGGGAAGGAGGGAGGGAGGATGGAAGGAAAGGAATGGGAGGAAGGAAGGGAGGAAGGAAATGGGAAGGAGGGAGGGAGGATGGAAGGAAAGGAATGGGAGGAAGGAAGGAAGGAAATGGGAGGGAGGGAGGAAGGGAGGAAGGAAATGGGAATGAGGGAGGGAGGGAGACTCCGCCTCCATGGCCCACTCGCCCACTTCTCTTTGACTGGACCAGTCCAGTCCAGCCCCTCCTCCAGCTGCCTCTTCGCCCTCGCTCGCAGTGGGAAAGCCACGGCCATGGGCAGCGCTGCCAATCTCTCGCCCTCCCCTTCTCCCCTCTTGGCCTCGCAAAGGAGGGAGGAGAGGAGAAAGAGAAGGAGGGAAGGCGGGAGGAACGAAGGAAGGAGAAAAGGAAAGAAAGAAGCAAAGAAGAAAGGAACGGACGAAAGAAGGAAGGAAGGAGATGGGAATGAGAAGGAGGGAAGGGAGGAGGGAGGGACGAAGGAAGGAGCAAAGGAAAGAAAAGAGGAAGCAAAGAAGAAAGGAATGAACGAAAGAAGGAAGAAGGAAAGAAGGAGATGGGGATGAGAAGGAGGGTGGGTGGAAGCTGGTTTGAGGGGACTCCTGACTTAGGACTTGGCCACCAGCAGCCCTGTTGCCCTCTGGCCGTCCTTTTGCCCCCACCTCCAGGCCTGTCCACGTGGTCTCCCATCCTATCCCTGAGGATGCTCTGTGTACACAGCCGGCTCTCCTCGCATGGGGAGGGACTCTGCCTTCTGCTGTCCCATATCCCTTGGCTCTGCACCCAGCTCCTAAGGCCAGGGGTGGGCAAGGGCCATCAAGCTTGGCTCAACACTCCTTGCTCAGAACCTTGGGGGGGGTCCAGTGAAACGGAGGTGGGGGTCTCCTTGTTATAATCCCCATCGCTCAGATCCTGCATCTGTGGAACGGCCTTGAACCATGAGATGGACGGCAGAGAAGTTTGGTAATATCTTTTTTTTTTAACAAAATTTTGTTAAGTTTATATAGATGAGGAAAAATAGGAACAATACAGTAAAGGGAGGGGTGGAAGGAAAGGGGAAAGGGAAGGGAATAAGGAATTAGGATAAAATAAGGATAGATATGTTGGTAGAAATTCTAGGCCACTGAATAACTCCAAACAGCAAGCTGAAATTAGACAGAGATTTATTGGCTACAATGGTTTGGCTGCAATGGTTTGTGGGATGTCACACACACACTGTCTCAAATTCACACAGGCCTACCCAGTCTTCCCACTGACTGCCTAGGCAGTGTATACTGGCCACCCCAGAACACTTACCTAGGTCCGTGCACGGAGTTGCCCAGTTCCCAGAAGCCAGCAACACACACACCGGTTCAATTCGTATCTCTGTCTAATATCAACTCTATGGGTTCACCGAGGAAAGTGTTGCTGCTCCTTTACCAACAAGATGAGATAGACTGTCGAAGTCGACAGGGCATGCCTTCCACGTCACCTTCTGGATCTGGTGCAGACAAACGATTGCGGTCTTGAGCCCCACGTTGGGCGCCAAAACTGTTGGTGGAAATTCTAGCCCACTGAATAACACCAAATAGCAAGTTTATTTATTTATTTATTTATTTATGAGACTTATATACCGCTTTAAGTGCAAGCACTCTCTAAGCCAGTGGTTCTCAACCTTTCTAATGCCGCGACCCCATAATACAGTTCCCCATGTTGTGGTGACCCCCCAACCACTTATGCATCATCGGGTGCCAGGGGCATGGCCAAAGAAAAGGGGGAAAAAATGGCGGATAGCCTTGTTTGGCGACCCCCGTGAAATAGTCGACCCACAGGTTGAGAACCACTGCTCTAAGCGGTGTACACCAGTAAGCAATGTATATATATATATATTTACATTGCCCCCAACAATCTGGGTCCTCATTTTACCTACCCCGGAAGGATGGAAGGCTGAGTCAACCTTGAGCCGGTGAGATTTGAACCGCTGACCTGCTGAACACAGTCAGCTAAAGTGGCCTGCAGTACTGCACTCTAACTGCTGCGCCACCTCGGCTCTTTGAAATTAGACAGAGATTTATTGGCTACAATGGTTTGCAAAGCGTGGTGGACTCCAAATAAATATTTGAGCCATACCTAGTCGCAGCGAAAACACACAATATATACATTCTATCCCGAGGCCTTGGCCCGTTCTCTGAGGTTACAATCTTTTTTTTTTTTTTTTTTTTTTATTAAAAGTTTTATAAATTTTACAAAAAAAACAAGAACAATACAGAACAAAAAACAACACATACAAAAGAGAGAAAAAAAAATTAAACAATACATATAAAAAAAAACCCCCACCCCACACCCCTCCCAAAAACCCTCCCTTCCCCCCCCCTGAGCTTCCCAGAGCAGAATATAGGCTTAAGAAATAATAAAAAAAAAATAAAAATTAAATTAAAAACTCTATATTTATATATATAAAAAAGATATCTATAATATATATAAAAATAAAACTTATGAAAAGGCTATATAATATTTTTGTATACCCAATCTAAATTGTATAAATTTTATCCATTTGTCCCATATAGCAAAAAACTTCTCTTGCGTTTGTTGCTTTAAGAAAGCCGAAATCTTTGCCATTTCCGCCAGATAAGCTACTTTAAAAAACCATTCCTGCAATGTAGGCAAAGATTCCTTCTTCCAATATTGTCCAACTAACAGCCTCGCGGCTGTGATCAAGTTTAACATCAATACAACCTCCTTGGTATCACAATCTGTAACAATACCTAACAAAAATAATTGCGGAGTGAATTTTACCCTCCTTCTAAAAATTCTCTGGATATTCCACCATATTTTGATCCAAAATGCTTTTATCTCTCTGCATGACCACCAAATATGATAATAGGAAGCCTCCTTGTAACCCCATCTCCAGCATTTAGGTTGCACGTCAGGGTACATGTAAGACATTTTTTGTGGATCAAGGTGCCATCTATAAAACATTTTATAAAAATTCTCCCTTAGATTCTGTGCTTGAGTAAATTTGACATTTCTCACCCAAATAGTTTCCCAGGTGTCCAATGAAACTGGCTCACCAAAGTTCTGCGACCATCTAATCATACAATCTTTAATTAGTTCCGTTTCTGAGTCCAATTCAACTAAAACCCCATAAATTCTCTTAATGTGGGTTTGTCTTTGATCCTTCAGTTGCTTAATAAGATTTTCATCTTCTCTAAGAAAACCCACCTTGCAATCCATCTTCCATCTATCTAATAATTGCCTATATTGGAACCAAGAATAAGTAAAATTTTCTTGTGCTAATTCTTCCCGTGATTTTAATTGCCAGTTTTGTCCATCCCATTTAAGTAACTGTCTATCAGACACCATATCCATTTTAACCCCTCTTTTTATTCCTTCTATCGCATGCCAAGGTATAGCCCATAATGGTACTTTAAAATCACTTTTATAATATTTTCTCCACTGAGGTTACAATCTTATCAGAGCCACCTAAACAAAGTTCGTTATCCCTACCCCTTACTATTTTGCTTCACCTATTCCCTTATAGGTACTTTATCATGAAATCCTACAGCTCAGTGTGGAAATCCTATAGCCTACGTGCAGAACTCTTCCAAGGTAAGTGTACATGTAGAAATTGTGTAGAAATCTTGCACTCTATGTGTAGAAATTTTACAGAGTACGTGTCCCTTAACTTTACTTTTTATTCTAAAATTTTATTCCTAACACATACAAATATCTTTAGTACAGATCTCAAACTATTACAAATATTTCCTCTCTTTTCCCTTTGGTATTTAATGTCTCATATTTAATAATAATAATATTTATAAAATAGAGAAAGTCATAGAAAATTGGCTCAAAAACTCAATGGAGGAAATACCATAAAGGCAATCAACACCTGGGCAATCCCAGTCATTAGGTACACAGCTGGAATAGTGGACTGGACTCAAGCAGAACTAAAAGCAATGGATAGGAAGACCAGAAAAATAATGACAATGAATCATGCCTTTCATCCACGCAGTGACATTGACAGACTTTATCTACCAAGGCAAATAGGTGGGCGTGGAATGCTACAAGTACATCAGATGTTTGAAGAAGAAAAAATGGCTTTGGAAGAATATCTGGAGAACAATGATGAAGATGCACTGAAATTAGTATATCAGGAAGGCTTACTAACTACTGGAGAGACCAAACTGGCCTTCAAGAAAGACCAAATGAAGAACAGAATAGAGGCATGGGAAGACAAAGCACTACATGGCCAATACATTAAAAAAATAGCTGGGAAAGCAGATAATAATAAAACCTGGCAATGGCTAAGAGCAGGAAAATTGAAGAAAGAAACCGAGGGATTAATTCTGGCTGCACAAGACCAAGCTTTAAGGACAAATGCATACAAAGTCAAAATTGAGAAGACAGCAACAGAC